AAAGCACTCAAAGCAATGCCCACTCGCACACACGCACCCAAACTTCCTTAGGCAGGAAAAACCACATAATGGTGCCCTTAGGCTAACCGCCGTACCATGAAGACCGACGGTGCGGTGGAGTTTACATGGCATAGAAACCCCTGTTGTGTCCATGAGGTTGTGTGGGGAATCTATATAGGTTCAAATGGTCAATTCCCCATCCATCGTTCCTGTTCTAAACCCGGCTCGATAAAAAATAAAAAAAGATCTATGATATTATTATCATACAAAAAGCTATTCTCAAGAGCCCTCATCTCCTCAGCAGAGAATGCCCCCAAAACATCTCTTCTTTCTCGGCCTACCTCAAATCGCCCTTCCCGTCGCTAATCACCTACCGCCCAAGTCCAGCCCCTACCTACCTACCTACCTACCTGCTCAGAAGCCGATCAGATACTAGGGGAAGTAATGTGCTATGTGTGTCCGATCATGGGGAGGCGGTGGTTGCTCAATAGTCAGGGGTATTTTATGGGGGGATATATGGCATAGGTGGCTTCCCTTAGGATAATGGAAAGTGCTTTGTGGTAGTGTTTGGAGGGCGTAGGGATTCTATGTGTTTAATTCCCGATAGCATGGCCAGCATTTCATGAGTTGTCACTCGCCCATTGGGCCATTGAAACGACATGGAGATGAAGAAAAGAAACCAAAAATATAGTTCCGTAATCGTGGGGATTTCGAAAGCACTGGATTGGTTTTCGCTCATTTCTCCTTTATTAGGATTATGAGCAGACTGTTTTCCTATCCTATATTATAATATTATAATACTAATCATTTGCACCCTTGTCCGTGTCAATTCCAGCAATTCCGTTCTCGCCTTGCCATCCCGTTAAGGCTGCCAAGCACGGCAACCATTTCTCATAGAAGTCCGGAGCACCTGAACTTTCGAGATGAATGGCTTCCTCCCCTTCCAGCCCATGGGCAACGTTCTTGTATCATATCATGGACAAGGTTGAGTCGTGTACTTTTGGTGTCACTCGGTTGCCTGTTTTGGGATTGGATGGAGCTGTTTTTGCTGCCATCTGAATTTACCGATGGAGATAGCGTGGAGGACTGGAGTCTCGGTTGATATTGGGGCGCCCCTGAAACCAGAGGTATGCTACAGTATCATACGGGTCTGCTGTACGAATCGTGCTTTGATCCTATATTAACTTCCTAATCCCCATAAAACAGTTAAAGTTGATATATCCACGACATCAGTATTATGCCCCAGAAGTCTCTTTATCATTACCAATACCCAAGTCCTTGTACGATCCCTTAGAGTCACTACCGGCAAGAAATTCACCCGTCCCCGACCAACCCTCTCAGAAACGAAATCGCAAAACCACCAAGTTACACGGCAGCTCCACCGACAAACTCCAATCAAAGAGCACATGAACCCCACTGACACAGAGACCAACCATAAGATAGAAACATTAGTGGGGCCGACGGCCCGGCCCCACGCCAACGCCATAAAACGCCACGAAATATGGAACCACATAAGATCATCGGATCTGCGGGAGACCCTTAACAAGTGATTTGTCTATCATGCTGTACCCGCCCTAGATAAGAAAAGCACCTAAACACGGGAATTTGAAAAGAAAGAAAAAAAATACACCGGTATGGCCAATCATCCGTGAGTATTTGTGCTCGCAGACAACAATATCCTCAATCTTCGGGCATTTCTTGTCCGCGTTGTAGGGGGGGGGTGGGGGGGCAGAGAACGATACACCAAAAATCCTGTGGCAAACATCAGATCTGATAGGGTTGTTCACTATCCCTCATGTTCTTTGTCCCCCCCCACTGTGTCACCGTACCGCAGTACGATTCACAGACATACAGTACTGGACTCCCAGCCCTAGGATAAGCAACCTTCCCGTCTGGTCAAATTGACGTGACACCGCCATTTCCTAGATAATTTGAAAGGGCGGCATTGCGGGCGACGCAGATCCTCAGTGGCTCGGGCATGCTTTGGGGTTTTTTCCGTGGTGTCTGCAGTGTGAGAGTGCATTCGCCACTATCATAGAAGTGTGTTATATAAGGTGCGGGTATCATAAATGATAAATAGTGTTGAACCAAGACACGCCTTTCAACGCTCCTAATGGGAGCAGAATTCCCACATTTGGTTTATCTCCGCCTTGCCCAGAATCCCCCAGAGCACCCTTGAGTGATGCTGCAGAGGTGGGTGATATCTCGGCTTGCGACTAGCTTTGCTCGGTTCCGAGGTTCCGATTCTGTCAGGCATGTCCCCGGAGGTTATCACGGGTGTGGAAGGTTTTTTCCCTCCGTCTATGAGTGTGCCCTGCAGATTCACGGACAGTCGGCATCTAAAGTTCTATGAAATGACTGATATACATTATAGATTTGGCACACCATTTATGCAAACCTTGATTTTCCCCATTATTTCTCGTCCTGATGTACTATAGTGATGTGGGCTTCGGATTTGGGCTGCTTATATACGGTGAGTTATGTGTTTGATCACAGGTTTTTGCTTAAAGATGGATCGAGTTCCGGAAGCAGAGGGATCATGGTTTATATATCATAAGTGGGAGCAGATATTCCAGATCTGCAGTATAAATGGATATGCATTTCTGCCTCTTCCTATCTCACGAGAGTGGCAAGGAAATGACCTAACTATTGGTGATAATATGAGCACGATATGGCAAAACTCCTCCGCGCTCGCCATCTATAGCCCTCCCCTAAACAACTCCTAAACCCCCATCAACGAAACACTAACTGAGGACACAAGAAACACTGAAGAGAACAAAAAAGGGAAGGAACCAAAAAAACACCCACTAGTTCTCACCGGAGCCTTGTCCGAACGAGGTAAGAAGGGCATCGGATTTTGAGAGCTCAAAGGAAAACCTCGATTAACAATTGCGGCCGAGACCGATGCCGAGTGATCTACCATGTATCACTTAGAATTTAGGCTAAAGGGGGTTAGAAAACTTGGAGTTAAAGGAACAGCCTATCAGGATATCCAGGTTCCTGCTTGATCCCGGCTAAACGTGGGTGGGAATCCGCAGTAATCGGCTCTCTGTGGAATCAGTAGCCTTAAATACCGGTACTTCAAGGGCGGCTGTGATAAAAAGAGACTACACGCCTTTCCATCTCTCAGACGTGGATTGATAGATCACAAGGGGGTATATGATACAAATTACTTTCATACAGCACCAGGAGCACGGCCCGGCAACTACGGCACAGACCTCTGCTGGGTCGGATCTCCCGGGGACCCAGGCTCCAGCGTCCCGGTAACTTATACTATACCGCAAGATTTCCACAAAAAAGCTATCATAGCCTGGATGGGGATGTACCATAGCCCAAAAATTCCCCAAACGGACGATTTTGCCTTATAGGTAGAAGCTGATATTAATACGCTGTCTGTGTCGTATATCTGAACTCATGTATGAAACCGGTATCGTACTAGAATTTATATTTTTATATTTGGTTACAACACTTCAAACGCGCTTTTCTCATCCCGGCGAAAAAGAAAAAAAAGCCCACGTGCCGGTTCTCGGAGAGAGAGGTGTTCATCTGATAGGCCTCTGCAATCTGTCTACAACTCAACGGTAGACTAAAGTACCCTTTCTTTCTCGCTTTCCGGAAGCGGACGCCTTCCAGATATTAAAAGGGGATATTTATTTTTTCCTCCTCAGACAACTGACTTATTTCTCAAGTTATGATGCCCTATGAGAGCGCTGGCAAAAAAAAAAACATAAATTAATCCCAATCAGGCAAATACGGAATGTAAAACACGCCATTATTCGAGTTAGTATCTCGCCAGATGACAAGAGCTTTTCTATATATATCAGAAGCTCGACGGAACAGGGAACTCCAGGGATAGGAAGTGGGGCCAAGAGCAAACCTCAAAAAACCTGCTGTCATATATCAATAATGCTTCGGCCCTATTTGGCAAAGATGGAACCGTTCCGTTCGGTGACCGTTTCTCATACAAAAATGCTTGTCGTTCCTTTTCCTTCCGTTTCGAAATGCACATTTTGTATGGGAAATGGTCGCCAAATGGAATGGTTCCATTTTTGCCAAACAGGCCCTTCATATATTAATGGTGCTCATTCCAGTTAGTAGGGTAGAGCGCACTGGCACTGGTAGGATAAGTATTTGTTTCTACAGTGACATTGTGAAATACCTAGCTGGTGCAGTGGTTAATATGTCAAGAACAAATTGACCTCCCATGCATTTAGTGGGTGGTCAGGAGTTCAATTTCAGCTCAAGGTAGGGTTGTTGTTGAATTCTCCATCAGGTAGGGCAGGATACTTTGGGATTCCTGGCCATACTGGAACTGGGAGGGAGAGGTGGCAGATTTCGACTCTGGACCAGTACCCTGAGGGGGGGTGGTTCGCGATCGGCAGGCTTTTCTTGCTTCCTAACCTAATGATTCATATGATAGCAGTTCTGATTCCTCAATACTATCCAGACTCTCAAATACAATAAACTTGACTGTATTGACTCAGTGTATGCAAGTAGTCAATCTGGCTTCCAGGGCTCATCTGGCCTTAGACTGAAAATGACAGACCCTCAAAAGCTTATAGCACTCCAAATAATCACAATAATGATTTTCTAAGAGAAAGGCATTGTAGATAGACCTCCTGGCTACATTGTAGTCTTTTTTGTTGGCTTATCGCAAGTGGAACCATATACAAAAGGATTGAATGAGCGAAAACATTTCACTGAATACTGGCGAAACATTACACTAAGCACATTACACCGTACCAGCACGGAACATTACACAGGACAAAACTGGGAACCTACTACCGGTACGGTAGTGGTTTTTATATATAATTATGATAGTAGCGAGGTTTCTATTGCACTAGCTGTAGCTATTTTTAGGCGAAGGAGCTGTTGTGGAGGATTACCCTACCTTCGTCCTCTGCAACCCTTGTTTAGGTGGCTCCTAGTACAAGGGTGGCACTCATAAATTTACCACAACTGTGTCCCATCAGAACAATACAACCCAGCGTTCGCCCATCATGTCGAACGACAAATTCAAATATCGTGTTGAAATTCAGCAAGTACTATGCTTCTTTCCAATCTAATGCACTATACCCGGTCTTTGTCGAGAGGCTTACAAGCGTAGATGATGTTCGTTTCGGGCGAAACCGGCGAACCATCTGCAGAAACCACAGGAATCATCGAAGAGATTGTGCGGGGCCAGGTTATCGAGATGGTACCATCTCCAGAATCCACTTTCTGCCTGGAGATTCTAACTCGTGATAGTTGCAACAATGCACCAATCTTGCGTCACGTCGCGGGTCTCGCTCCATTTCGACCGATGACCTCATCTTCCTCATCCGTCATGACAAAGCGAAGGTTTCTCGCCTACGAACTTATTTATCCTGGAAAGATGTTAGGAAAACCGCCAAAGATAACGATCCATCTGGGGGAGCTGGTGCGCCCGATCCTGCCGACCTTCTCGACGACGCGGCTGCAGGCATTGCGGGCGGGACTGGGCCGGTTCAGATGAGGCAGAAGAAGGCAAAGATCGGACTCCCATGGGAGGTGGCTAGTTTTTTCTCGGAGCAAGTCCCTGAACGCGAAGAAGATGAGGACGAAGACGAGGTAGAGGCCAACGCGGCCACACTACAGCGCCTCAAGAATGCGGATGAACGTACGAGAGGTATGACTAGGGACGAATACGTACATTGGTCGGAATGTCGCCAAGCTTCCTTCACATTCCGCAAAGGGAAGAGGTTTCGGGAATGGGCTGGGTTCGGAACTGTTACAGATGCAAAGCCCAATGACGATATTGTCGACATTCTGGGTTTCCTGACATTCGAGATTGTGCAGACTCTCACTGAGGAAGCGCTAAAGGTAAAGGAATTAGAGGACCAGGTTTTATTGGAGAGTCGAGAGAAGAGTAAAAAGAGGAAACGGGAGAAGTTCTTGTTTCATGCTGAGGAGGGAAGGACGCCTATTGAACCGCGACACGTTGAAGAGGCTTTCCGAAGATTACAAGTCCCGAAACCCAAATCCCGAGCCATGAGGAATTTTTCGGGTGGAGTGGTCAAGTCAAAATTGACTCTGGTGTAGTGAGTTTATGGGTTCCACGCAAGGCCATCACGGCCCACAGTTTATGGTGACACGATAGATGAGGGGCTTATGTGCGAAATCGGCGTTTTTTTTTTTACACATTTTACATTTCTGCTTGTATTTTTGTTGGCTTGCGGGTCGCTGATTTTGCTCCATGTCATCTCTTGTTCTTTCATGCATTGGGGTGGTTCTTCTGATCTGGTCTTTTTGGTTACTTCAATTTGTTCATATTAGGGATAACCTGCGAGGATTGGAGGGTGGTATGTACTGTAGTAGACACTTGCTCGACTAATGCTTCGTATCACACACCCAAGTACTCACAGCATGGAATATGAATAACTCCATTCCGTCATTTACCTGGTTGGCCCCATTCGAGAAGACACGCAAAATGAGGGGTCGATGCTGGACAGATTGTGCTCCCACTCCCTTTCGGCTGGAGAGACAAGTCGAAATTATCATTGACCACTGAGCTGGCAAGACGTAGGCATCCGCAAACACCTCTATCCATCAAAAGGTCCTTCCTCAATCATATTTTTTCATAATGAATTGTGAGACTGTGACCGCTGGGTGGTCATGACCAAGGGACACAAGACATTTCAAGGCATGGCTTTCGCACCTTCCCGGTGATTTCTGAAAGTTTTTTGGTCGTTCCTGTTGTCACCCGCCGCGGAGAGGGGGAATTAAAAGACCGGATCGCGAAACCTGAAAAAGTATAGCTTCAGAATAGAAAATCAAGCCAAGATACAATACCGTACTCGTAGGAGCGTGTCATAAAAGGGAATCACGACAAAGAGAAGAAAGAAAAAACAGGAGGGAGACCATAAAGCGAGTAGGAAATTTTCAAAAAGGAAATATCAGTTCTAATCAAGGCATCATAATATTATCATGCTTTTTTACTCGCAGGGTGATTGCAGGAAAAGAAGAAAAAAACGTGGAGTGATATGCTTACCACGGCTGAGGCTCCGCCTTTCGAGACAAAATTGAGTTCAGGTTTATCCCCCATCCACTCCGCCCACCCCCCCCAGACCGGGTAACCTTGACCCGCCCACCAGCCCACCAACCCACAACCGTATTTTCTTGCCCCAGGCAACGTTTCCGACCCTTTGCCCTAGAACAACTTTACCTTGCAGCCGGGGAACTCATACTCGCCCGACCAGAAATGATTAAGGGCGCACCTTCCACTCAACAACCGTCCACCACCCGCGCATGTACATAATGCCATTTTCACCCTCCAGTCCTGTTCCCCCCAAGATCCGTCCGAAGAGTTATCCATGTCCTGTCGCCGAATGCACCAAGTTGTTCACCTGCGAGCGCGGCATTAGGGACCACCTGTCACTGTACAAGGAACGTTTTCAAGATTACGCTTACAAGGCTCTGGAAGAACAGTTCGCGTTCTGCTCCGACCCCCCCGAAACAAAGGAGACTGAGACTACCCCCGTTAAGAAGGCCCCTCGTGAGAGCGGTCGGGAGAGTTTCAATTATCTCAGCGCTCATTACGAAGCTTGGAAAAACAAATACGGTATGTATTATTTTTTGTTTCCCCGGTTTTTCCCTTTTTTTTTGTTCCTTTTTCCTTGCTTTTTTTCTATTCATCGTTTATTTATAATCTATCATCGGCTACCGGGGGAATGAGTTATTGTGTGGATGAGAATGTGGGATTGATTTCGTGCTAATTTGAAGGTACGGCGGATCCAGCTCAGAGCAACAAGGAGAGCTTCGAATCCAGACATCGACAAGCTGCCCGCAAGTACCGTCTCAACAACAAGGAGAAGGTTCGACGCATGGTTAAACTTAGCAAGTTCCGAGCCAAGGCCAAAAAAATGGGCTTCGGGGCTGACGAGGCCGAAGCCAATGCTCAACTCTGGATAGCCGCATGGGAGAAGAAGTATGCCGAGTCGACAACAAAGTGCGAGGCAGGAGAGGAAGACGAAGAGGAAATTGATACCATATCTTCTATGCAACCTATGCAACCTATGCGGTCTATGCAACCCATGCCGCCCATGCCGCCCATAGGGCCTGCTCAATCGATGCCGTCTTAGGGCGTCATCTCTTTTTGTAAAGTGCTGAAGTTCTTTTGGGGCCTTTATCGCTTTTCTATCCTTACCTCTTCGTTTCCTAATTTTCTCCCCAGGCCCTGCTATTGGATATCTCTCTCTATCCCCGATATTTCTTCGCCTATTTTTCATATGTCATCTAAGTTCGGTTCCATCGGTGGGGTTTAATAAGGTGTACTTTGTACGGTACGGGTCAGTCATCTTTCAGTAGATAAAACGGGGCTGCATACGGGCAGTTTCGACGGATGGCGGGAAAGTGTGGCTGGAGATCTGTTCTTTTGGTTTCGATTTATTATTTATTCCTTTTCCCCCTTTGCAGCAGTGATTATGAAAGAAGTCTCAACATGCATTACGATATGATGCCTCTCCTTTTTCTCCTTTTTCTCCTTCTTTTCTACTTCACCTGTAGATGCTGGGATCTCGGTCTCTCTTTTTTTTGGCTCCCGTCGTTTATCACGCTTTAATGGTTTTGTTTATTCTATGGGATACCTAAGTCTTTTTCGAACCTGCTTTTCCACCATTTTTCCGCCTCATTTCCACAATCGCGGGGGGTTCTCGTTATTTCCTCCAATTCTAAAATATCGCTTTCTCCACCCTCATTTTTCTCCAGTTTTGTCCGTAAAAGAAGGATACTACTTGCTCTTTTTCGGGTTTTTATTTTTCATTCCTCGTTGCGCACGGCATGGGCGGGTGGGATTGGGATACCCGCGTTTTTCCTTTTAATGAGAAAAAAGTCATTATTCGAG